CACACACACACACACACACACACACACACACACACACTGCGTACAGCACTGCTTGTGTGAGGGGATATTTGTTTTTCTTTTCATTAGCGGACTTGAAGTTAGCTGAACTAAATTTATCAAAAGCTAATTGGTCCGCTAACGATTTCCAAAGCTAATTTTCAAAACAAACATTAGCTTTGCTATTAGGGGCTTAGTGGAACCGTGTCCACTACTGCACAATTGAAACTGCACGTCTGATTGTGTCAATGGATTTCTGAGATGATTCTGGTCTTTGACTTGCTACATGACCACCTTCCCATTGTAAAAACTTGCCCTTGATCCAATATGGTGGCTTTCAAGATGGTGGCCATGTTCTGGACATAACCTAAACCAGTGATTCCCAACCAGGGGTACGTGTACCCCTTGGGGTGCGCGAGCATATTACGGGGGTACGCGGAAAAATTTCCCAGGTGTGTAACAAAATAGACAAAAATAAGACCCTATGATTTCCACAATGCAGAAAATGCAGACAGAATTACAGAATTTACAAAACAAAATGGAATTCAGTAAAAATCACTGAGTCTCATGGAATTTGCTCATTTGGGCGTGTTTCTGATGTATTTTGGATGCTGCTGCTTCCTGCACCTGCCATTACCTGGTTTATTTATTTAATTACTTATTCACTTTCAAGGCAAAGTATTTATCTTTATGTTTAATTTGAGTTGAAAAGAATAAAATGTCTCAAAATTAAATGTACTAGTTAAGGGGGTTAAATTGATAATTTAATAAGCAGTTGCACATTATAGTTTGGAGAATCATCATTACGTTTGACTGAGGGGTACTAGTGGTATGACAAAATGGCTCAGGAGGTACACAAGTCTAAAAACTAACTGGGAACTAAATGATAGGCCCCCTCATCTATTATTCATATTTTTAGTTTTCTTTTTTGTTTCTGAAATGAAAGGGTGTCCTGAGACTTTTGACTCACCATGTGCATCTAATGATAATTTCCTGGAGATTTCATTAAAATCCATCCAGAGACTCAGGAGGCATTTTGCAGACAGAGTTGACTCCAACAGTTACTGGAGTTAAAACTTTAAACAAAAGTTCTTGGACACTTTTATAGTCCTTTAAAGAAAACATGTTGGGGATGACGCTTGGCTGCACCAAACTGAATCCAGTTGACTCAAAAAACTAATAGACGTACAACAAATCATTATTTTCTGCCCCTAATCACACTGATGCTGCTCACCTGAGACAAGAAAAACACCTTCTCAGAGTAAAGTCAGGGGTCCAGACAGTCTGCTGTAGAGCACTGACCGGAAGGACAAGGTGCTGCACATCCATCAGGCTCTGAGTGGAAATGACTTTGTGTGTGGGAATTTTCTGAATCCTCTTACTTATTATTACGTTTGGGTCAAACTTGATGCATTCGACGAGCCGCTCCAGATGACGGATGAGGAACAGAGCGCTGCAAGACATATCTGTTTGTCATCTCGCTCCAATAAAACGGTTTTCTTTCTGCACGTCTCGGAGGACGACTTGTTGGGTTTACCTGGTAGCTGTGACTAAATTATGATCACATTTAAACTCTAAACAACTCAAAGATGAGTAAAAGAACTCTGACCCCTCCGTGCAATTTCTCCAAGAACTCCCAAAGTGCAAGCTATGTAATATTTTAGATCTTCCTCTGCTTCACCCTCCTCCTCCTCCTCCTCCTCCTCCTCCTCACATGGAAGAGGTCACCCTGACATGCAGCTCTATTCACCGGAGTCTTTGCCTGCGACTGATTGCAGCCAGAAATCCAACATACCTGAAGTAATAGCAGCGGATCAGCTCGGAGGTAGGAGTTTAATCTGCACACTACATCTGAGCGGAGCTACCAGGATGCTGGAGGAAATCCTGCTGGTTGGTGACCTTAGTTCTGACTGTCTGGAAACAAGATTGTGGGTCAATGTATCAGTGGAGCTCTTACGAGAGGATTAGGATGAGCAAGCCTCTCTCGGGGCTTTCAGCACAATGAAACTATCAGGAATATTCCTCTTTATCTTGACTACTGGGAAAACATGTCACTGAAATAATCCAAAACTCAGTAACTATTTCATTGGTGTCTTAAAGGGATTACCGGCTGCTAGCACATGTTGGTTTTAATATGTTATTACTCTAGAAGTTGTTGGTACTGAAAACATCTAAAGAAATTGTACGTTTATTAAATTTTTTTTACTTGAACACATCACCATTTTGTACTGACATTCTGGGGATTATGCAACACGTTCTCCCTACCGACTCACCAACGTGTGCCAGCTTATAGCACAATGGCTAGAGGGTTCGAATCCCACCCGGTCCAAACGTTATTGGGTGGCCGCCGGGGGGGTTGAGTCGTCCTGGAACCGGAAGGTTGCCGGTTCTATCCCCAGTCCAGCTGTTTCCGTCCTCGGACACTTCACTGGTCAGAGGGCCTGGTGGTGCAGCCCCGCCTCTGTCAGTCTGCCCCAGGGCAGCTGTGGCTACAGTGTAGTTTACTATCATCAGTGTGTGAATGAATGATGCATGAAAATTGTAAAGAGTCTTTGGGGGTCAAAAGGTGTGAATCAGGGCCCCAATGATAACCAACACAAAGAGGGGAAAAAGACAAAAACAAGGGGACGTTGAGCCCCGCTTGCACTCACTACATACACATGACATGACACCTAAGAACCACAGCAAACCAATAAGTCAGGTGATGGGGCATATGACCCTCTATGAACAATAGAGCTAATCAAGCCTATTGTTAAGCGATGGCCCTCTTTTGCGTGTGACTAACCTGTTTGTCCATGTGGAGGCAGTGCTTATAAGGCTGAGTTCACCTGAAACTCGTCAGACTGAAGAAGTCTCTTGGAGGAGAGACGAAATGTTTCACTAAAGAAGACCCCATCCAGAGGACCTATGAAAATATGGCTTCACAAACATTTACATCCCCTTAAAATAATAACACGTCTCTCTTAACAAAGTTTGCTTGAATGTTGGAAGGTAAGATGCTCTGTGTTAAAGGATCAGTGGATCTGTGTTTGACTGCTTCACCTAGGCTGCATTTTTGAGCGCAGATCCACTGAGAAACTTGCTGTTTCAGCAACMTTTAATTTAAAAACTGTACTTTTGAGATTAAACAAATGTTCAAAATTAAGTTGAATAAATTACAAGGGTGCATGGGAATTTGCCCAACTGATCTACATGTGTTTTGTGGATTTGGAGAAGGCGTTCGACCGTGTCCCAAGGGGGGCCTTGTGGGGGGTTCTCCGGGAGTAT